CGCCAAGGGCGAGGCAACGAGGATGGGCTTGGATGCATCCAAGGAGAGTTTGGGGCGTTTGGGGTTTAGGGTTTAGGGTTTGGGGTTTGGGGTTTAGGGTTTAGGATTAAGGGTTTAGGGTTTGGGGTTTAGGATTTTTAGGGTTTAGGGTGTGGGGTTTGGGGTCTTTGGAAACTAGGGCCCCAGCTTGGGGGCCCCATTGAGTTGGCAAACGCTGGGTGGATTGGGCGGTATCCTTTGTCCTCTCAGCCCCTGAGCCCTGAGGGATCATGGGGAAACCCTGAACCCTGAACCCTAAACCCTAAACCCTAAACCCTAAACCCCAAACCCCAAACCCCAAACCCTAAACTCAAGACCGCTCCAGCCACACCCAAGCCCAGGAGCAGCTTCCAGCACGTTGGCAGGCACTGTTGCGGGCTTGGGGGGTTTGGGGGTTAGGGTTTAGGGTTTGGGGTTTGGGGTTTGGGGTTTAGGGTTTGGAGTTTAGGGTTTAGGGTTTTTGGGGTCGGGGTTTCGGGTTTGGGGCTTGGGGTTTCGGGTTTGGGGTTTGGGGTTTAGGGTTTAGGGTTTAGGTCAGGGTGTAGAGAATTGGGGTTCAGGGTTTAGGGTGTAGGGTTTGGTAGGTTTGGGGTTTAAGGTTGGGGCTTTTAGGGCAGAAGGGGTTCAGGGCTTGTGGAGTCAAGGTCTAGTACGATGAAAATTTTTAACGACATGATGAGGAGTTGGGGCTTCTATTTGGCTTTCGTGTGTTGGCGGTTTTCGGGTTTAGGATTTAGAGCTTGGGGTTTAGGGTTTAGGGTTTAGGGGGTTTAGGGGCTTGAGGGTGTGTAGGGTTCAGGGTTTAGGGCTTGCAGGCGCAGCCTCAGGCAGATGCTTAGAAGCCGTTCGCAGTCGGAGGTAGTCGTTCGGCCAGGTCATCATGACCAGGAGGGTTTAGGGTTTAGGGTTTCTCTTGCTTGGCTGCCGGGATGATGTCGAGGTACTGCGCCCATGCTTGGCAATAGCATGCCTGGATGATCTGCCTACCAGCCCAAAAGATGTTCAGATGCTGCAGCTGACCTTTGTGCTGCAGCAAGCCATATTTTTTCAGATAGTTCTGGTGCCCAGCAGGGACCCTCATGTAGAATGGCCCCTCCACGTACAGCAAGGAGCATTTTTTTGTCATCTAGCGTCCAAATTAGACAGGATAGGTACCCAGACTCCTAGGCCTTACATAGGATGAATGCCCCCTAAAATGGACCCTACCTGTAGGCCGTCATTACACTTCCTTGTAAACCCTAAGCCTTAAGAACCCTAAGCCTTAACCCCTAAACCCTAAACCCTACCTAAACCCTAAACCCTGATACCTTCTGCGAGAGGGCCACAATTAGGGCTTGAAAACACGGGGTGCAGCGCAGAACGCCTGCGGCCAACATGGGGACCCTGGAGGTTCAGGGTTTTAGTAGGGTCCTCAGCGCCCAAGCCCTGCAAACCCCGAACCCTAAACCCCCAAACCCTAAACCCTAAACCCCAAACGCTAAACCCTAAAGCCTTAAGCCTTAAGCCCCCAAGCCCTGCTTGAAGGCCACGCTTTGAAGTCCCCCGAATGCCCTTCTACGCTACAGCACTCAGAGAGCCCTGGATAGCTTCAAACCTGCCCTAAACCACCCTTAACCTCAAGGCCGCGTAGACCCTAGACCTTTATACCTTAACCCGAAACCCTAAACCCTAAACCCTAAACCCTAAACCCCAAACCCTAAACCCTAAACCCCAAACCCTAAGCCCCAAACCCTAAACCCCAAACCCCAAACCCTAAACCCTAAACCCCAAACCCTAAACCCTAAACCCCAATCCCCAAACCCCAAACCCCAAACCCTAAACCCTAAACCCCAAACCCTAAACCCCAAACCCCAAACCCCAAACCCCAAACCCTAAACCCGAAACCCCAAACCCTAAACCCCAAACCCCAAACCCCAAACCCTAAACCCCAAACCCCAAACCCTAAACCCTAAACCCTAAACCCTAAACCCTAAACCCTAAACCCTAAACCCCGAACTGGAGGTGCCCATCACGGCCCCGGGGGTGCCGCCGCCCGGGCCGGTGGAGCCGGACAGCCTCAGCAAGGAGGCGCTTTGCTCATGGGAGTTGGTTTAGGGTTTAGGGTTTAGGGTTTAGGGTTTAGGGTTTAGGGTTTAATGTTTGGGAATTTGGGACATTTCAGAGGGCTTGCTGTGCTTTTTTTTAGGAGGGGATGGTTTCAAAAGTTTGGAGACTCCACGTCTATTTTCAGAAAGCCCTAAACCCCAAACCCTAGACCCTAGACCCTAAACCCTAAACCCTCAACCCTAAACCCTAAACTCCAGACCCTAAAGCTGTTTCAAAAAGTGCCCTGGAGACCTCACGTCTATTTTCAGCAGGGTTCATATCCAGCTCCTCGCGCAAAGCTTCCAGGGTCAGTCGGCTGATGGGTTTACGGGGGGCTCAGGATTTAGGGTTTAGGGTTTAGGGGTTTAGGGTTTTAGGGTTTTAGGGTTTAGGGTTTAGGGAGGGGGCCGGTCCCAAAGCCAGCCGCCATCAAGCACCCCACGCCCATCAGAGCACTACTCGACCCTCAAGCCCTCCAGCCCCTAAGCCCTAAACCTTAAACCTTAAACCCGACACGCTAAACCCTAAAACCCTAAACCCTAAAACCCTAAACCCTGAATGGCCCTAAACCCTAAACCCTAAACCCTAAACCCTAAACCCTAAACCCTAAACCCTAAACCCTAAACCCTAAACCCTAAACCCTAAACCCTAAACCCTAAACCCTAAAACCCAGCTCCCAAACCCAAACCCGCGAACCCAAAGTTCACGAGGCGTTGATCGGGCTGATCAAAGAAGGCGCGGCCTGCCAGGATGGGTTCACGGCCTAGGGGTTATACAGGGTTTAGGGTTTAGGGTTTAGGGTTCATGGTACTTATTAACCAATTATAACTGTACTTAGAACCCAAATTATAGCTATATTAGGGCACTTAAGGGGCTTAAAGTGAACTTAATGATTGGTTAAGAAATACCCTGAACCTCCAAGTACTGCTTGGTGTTCTCTTTAAGCAGGGTTTCTGTTTTGTAGGGGTTTCTCATATTAGGGTATTTAGGGGCTATATTAAGGTATAAGGGTAACAGGTAAAGAGGCCACCGGCCTTTATGACCCTTGGTAGAATTGCAGACAAAAACGGACAAGAAAGACATGCGTTAGACAAAGATCGTTTATCATCAGTAAACAAATAAAAATCAGTACATGAGTATATCTATATATATATATATATATGTTACAAGTTAACAATACATACAGATCTAATAAAGAACCCTAGCTACACAAAACACGGTATGTTTATACACATACGCCCGGATATCCACATCTTTACATTAGGAAAAGTGCATCATGTGATTGTTTATGACCCCCCCCCCACCCACCCAATGCGGGAATCGCAGGCCTTCCTCGGTCAGTAGTCACTGAAAGAGGGGTTTAGGGTTTAGGGTTTAGGCTTTAGGGTTTCGGGTTTTGGGTTTAGGCTTCAGGCGTTTAGGATTGAGGGCTCAGGGGGGGGGGGGGGGGTTTAGGGTTCCTTCTGTAGTCCATGAGAAGATACCTGGACCCCTAACGTGGCTTTCACATCGGAAGGGCCAAGGCCACCCTTGCGGGGTTTAGGGTTTAGGGTTTAGGGTTTAGGGTTTAGGGTTTAGGGTTTAGGGCCCAAACCCTCTGTCGTGACTTGCGGCCGAAGCAAGAGCCAGAAGCATCGGCGCATGAACAGAATGAGCTGAGTGTCCGAAGCCCCTGATGGAGTAGAGTGTGGGCGGCCCGGGGGTGGGTGGACAGGCGACGTGTTAGCGCGCGGCGCACGGTCTTCGCTGACAAACCCGAAACGCGAAGCCCTAAACCCTAAACCCTGAACCCTAAACCCTAAACCCTAAACCCTAAACCCTAAACCCTAGACCCTAAACCCTAAACCCTAAACCCTCAACCCTAAACCCTAAACCCTAAACCTACCCTACACCCAAACCCCAGTCCTCCTGTCGGAACGACTGACCCTAACGGCAGGCCAGCGATCAGGGGGCCAGCCCTTCAAGCAGCAGTGGTGTGGTCCCAAGTGGGGTGTAGGGTTTAGGGTTTAGGGTTTAGGGTTTAGGGTTAGGGTTTAGGAGGGCAAGAACCCTAAACCCTCAAGAACCTGGCGCCTTTCATGGCTTTTTGTCACCTCGAGCTTTCCTCAGTTCAGCTCTGTCCTCACAAAGCGCGGCATCATAGCTTGCCAGCCCGAGTGCAGAGCAAGGACCCCCCGCAAAGGCCAGCCCCCCCCCCCCCCCCCCCCAACAAAGTGTGTACTTGAGGGCTATAGATTTCATAGGCTTGTTGTAGGGATTTGCAGCAGGGTTTTTGTAGGGTTTTTGCAGGGTGTTTATAGGGTAGTGTAGGGTTTTGTGGGGCTTATATTGGGGGTGATGATTTTCCAGGGCTTTCCAAGCAGGAGGTTCCTGCCCTAAACCCCCTGAACACGAGAAGTTGGAGAAAGGCGGTGGGATGAGAACAGGAAGGAAGCCCAACGAGCTAAACCCTAAACCCGTAAACCCTCAACCCGCAGCCCTCAACCCTCAACCCTCAACCCTCAACCCTCAACCCTCAACCCTCAACCCTCAACCCTCAACCCTAAACCCTTAACCCTAAACCCTGAACCCTTAAACCCTTAAACCCTTAAACCCTTAAACTCTTAAACTCTTAAACCCTTAAACCCTTAAACCCCGCCCCATAACTTGTAACTTTCTATTCGTTTGGGGGGCCCAAAGAGCTGATTGTTTGGGGTCTTTGGGCCCTCAGGGTTGAGCAAGGACTGGGGGGTTCAGGGTTTAGGACTTAGGGCTTAGGGTTTAGGACTTAGGGTTGAGGGGGGTTTAGAGGTTCGGGGGGGGGCAGGGCCCTCGCGTGGCCGTGCTTGCTCTCAGCCTTCTTGCAAAATCCTTGCAGGTGCTCCTTATGAACCTCCATGCCAGAGCTACCTCGCAGAGCACACTCCGTCGTTCCCGCAGACGATCCGTCGGCATGCCCGTCGGGCTCAGCGAGGTCAGCGTCGAAGGCGGCTCGAAACCCTGCATCGAACCCTCCGCAGCTTCCGACGGAGGGCTTGTGGACCAGCCCGGGCCAGAAGCTTAGTTGCTAAAGTGACCATAAATCTATGAATCTACTGATTACTTAGCGACACCCTCAAAACTCAATGGCTCACCGTGTTTCAAGTTTGTCCAGAAAGCATAAGACTACCCAATGCTCCCAATGCTACAGTCGTAGAAGAATGCAAGCAGCGTAAGAGACCAAAGCCCTGCAACCCTGAACATGACCCAGCATTCAGGGAGGGGGGGGCGGGCGGGGGAGGGGGGGGGGGGGGGGGTGGGGAAGGGGGGGGGCGGGTGGGGAAGGGGGGGGGCGGGCGGGGGAGGGGGGGGGGGGCGGGTTGTGAAGCCTGTGAAGCAGTCCAACCAGACCAAATGCCTTCCGCGGCTTGGGTTTTAAACCCTAAACCCTAAACCCTAATGTTGAGGGCTTGACGGGCTTCGGGTCGAGCGTGAAGGGTTTGAGGGGTTTGAGGTTGAGGCTTTGAGATCATGAAGCTCGAGTCCTGCGGTTCGGGGTTCCGGACTAAGCTTACCAGGTAGGCCGTTGGGACATTATATATATATATATGTATATATATATATATAGATTCTCTCATTGGGTTTAAGAGGATCATAGCTCGGAGTATTCTTCAGAGGTTTCGTCCCCTCCTAGCTTAGGGTTTCGAGGGGTTTAAGGGGCCGTTCAGGGCCTTCACCCAGGCCTTAGGCCGCAAGCCTCCGGCCCAGGCGCAAGCGATGCATCCTGGAAGTTGCTCGACGTGAACCTTATCATCGTCGGCAGCGGGCCGGTCGTCGAGCAGTTGCTGCAAAGGCGATTCGAGGCTGGCGGGCGGGCCTGCCTTCTTTGGACACACGTTTCACCACAGCAAATCCCGAACGGGACCCTGTTGGATCACGACTTGGCACCTTTTGACGAGGAGACTTTCATCTGGCAGCCGCCGCCAGCCGACAGTTCCTGCGAAGAGGTGATCCGCTTGCAGCGCAAGTTTGGCAGTTGGGACTACGGCTACATGCGTTCTGGTCCTGATGTTGTGGCTTTACCTGACGGAGGTCGCTATGAGCTGCTTTTGGACAGCCAGGATCGAGTCGTTGGCATACGCGTGCTGGTGAACGATGTCCTGTCTTGGCAGATGTCAGGTGCTGTGATGTTTGCAGATGCTACGGGAGTAGACAGCGAAGGACATGTGCAGCAAGTGAACGTCGGCGTGCAGCAAGAGGAGGCAAAGCCCTTGATCTTTACGCCCATGGGCGGAATGTCGTACTTGGCAGGCGTCGTGGCCTACATCCTCGGCCTCATCATGTCAACCGGAGTAATCCTCATCAACGAGCGGAGCGTCCAGCCGGAGCAGGTTGACTGGTGGTGGGTTGCCTGGCGGGGCATGACGTTTGGCGGGCAGGTTTGGACGCAGGTGTTAGTCGACGGCCTCCTCGGCTACAAGCAGCCCTTCCTGGACGCCGCTGTGGTGACATTCTTCGGTGCGGTAGTGTGGTCCTTGGGCGAGTTGTTGATCACGCTGTTCTTTCAAGAGTGGCGTCCCATGTATTTCGTCCACCAAGCATGCTTGTATGAGATGTCCTGCTTGTTCCAGTTGGCTAGCAGCTTCCTTCGAGCCCGTTGGGGCCGCATGTCGCTGCCGAAATCTGGAGCTTACGGCAGGGCACAGGACACCAGACGGCAATTTCTCTGGACGGCGTTCATGTTTTCACTGAATGCCATGCTGCTCCTTGCCCAGTATTTCATCATCACAAGCTACATGTACCTTGAGGGGTGGAGTAACATTCTGGCGGGAATATTCCTTGGCTTCGGCACGTCCGCTTCAGAGTTGCTGGCTGTCGGCTGCATGGAGCTGGTTTACACGAAGCTCATATGGCCGCGCGCTGGAGATGCGAAGCGCATCATCTACGGCGACCAGCATCTACTCGTCTCTATGATGGCTAGCTGGGCCCACTCCCTGTCCGAGGGCACCCGCCTGGTGAGCCTCGTCAGTGTCGCTGTGCGTAGCCCTGGCTGGCGTTGGGATTGGCTCGGCAGTGTGCTTTTCATATTCATGAGCAATGTGGTAGTTCGACATGGGTATCACCTCACTTTGTACACCAGGGTTGTGCCAAAGCGCCTGCAGACCTTTGTCAAGCCGGGCTGTTATGTCATAATCCACCGCCATTCGCGTTTTTCCTGCGGCTATCACCGTTTCGTTTTCTGTTTTGGCTACATGGCCTACCGCCTCATTTGGCTCAGCGGCCCTGATGGCCTTGCAGCGCCATTTTTCAACGCACACAGCCTGGTGCTTGTCTTCGTTATCTTCATGGCAGAGCTCGTGGAAGATGCTCTGTCGCTGCTTCGACTGCTGCCCTTGGATCCGTGGCGCGAGAACATGAAGCATGCTTATGAGCCGCTGGATCCCTTTCACCCCAAACAAGCCATGTGCAAGGATCGGCGTGGGACCCACGTGAGGCAGGCACCGCTGCGGCTTCATGGGACGCGGCCTCAACACGTGTCGCAATCGCTGGCAATGATGCAAGTTAGCACCAGCATTACAGCTATCTCATGCTTTCTGTACGTGGGTGCGGGCTTTTGGTTGGGACTATGCCCTGACCCGATCCCGTTGTCACTGAGACTACAGGATTCATTTTGGTGGTCGCAGCCACTGACTTGCTCATGAGGTCTGCGTTTAGGGTTTAGGGGTTTAGGGGTTTAGGGTTTAGGGTTAGGGTTTAGGGGGTTAGGGGTTTAGGGGTTTAGGGGTTTAAGGGTTTAGGGGTTTAGGGTTTGGGGTTTGGGGATGACAAGCATTTGCAATCCATGCACTCCATTGGCCATCCTCACAGCACATGAGAGTCAATTTGTCGGCAGCCTTGCGAAATCGTCACAGGCGGACATGTGATTTTCCTCGTTGCAAATGCGGCAGATGTACACATGTCGCGCTGGCTTGGGGTGTCTGGACGTCCCGAAGCCGGAACAGGGGCGTCTGGGGTGTTGGGGTTTGGGGGTGTAGGTGTTCAGGGTATGGGGCATAGGGTTAAGTATCCGCTACTCCCGAAACCCTAAGTTTTGGCATTTCAACCCAAGCAAGCCCAACTCCACGTCCCTAGTTAAAAAAGCTGCAGGGCTTCGGGTGGAGAGTCGAGGGTTGAGGGCTGAGGGCAAAGCTTAACTGGTTTGGAGAGGAGGCACACGCCAGCACCCATGCGGCAGCGCACCTCCGTGTCCTGTTCAGCGGCAAAGCTCAACCCAACCTCCTCAACCCCTCAACTCCCCCCACTGCCCACCCCTCCTCAACCCCTCAACTCCGCCCCCCACCCCCCTCCTGGCTTTCTCAACCGCCTCAACCCGCCCCCACCCCCCGAAACCCTAAACCCTAAACCCCAAACCCTAAACCCTAAACCCTACACCCTAAACCCTAAACCCCAAACCCTAAACCGCAAACCCTAAACCCCTCAACCCACTCAACCCCCCTCAACCCCACGTCCAGGTGGACTTTCTGCGACCAGGGAAAGGGCGGAGCACTTCGTCTGCGCCAGTTTCGGGTTAAGGGTTGAGGTTCAGGGTTTCTGGACTGGAGGTTCAGGCTTCCGGGACGGATTGAGGTTTAGGGTTTAGGGTTTAGGGTTTAGGGTTTAGGGTGGAGGGTTTAGGGTTGAGGGGAGTTTAGGGATTATATAGGGTTGAGGGTGTAGGGTGCAGGGATTCGGGTTTCAGGGTGAGGGTTTCGAGTTTGGAGTTTCGAGGGAGAGGGTTTAGTGGTTTACGGGCTTTAGGGTTTAAGGGTCTAAGGTTGGGATGTTCCCCCCCCCCCCTACTCCCAGCTCCCATGCCCATAACCCCTCACCCCTAACCCCTAACCCCTAACCCCTAAACCCTAAACCCTAAACCCTAAAACCTACACCCTAAACCCGTTGCGAGGTCGCCGACTATGACCCCAAGCGGCATTCCGAGTCGTCGCTCCGGTCCGCCCTGACATGGCTTGGGGGTTTAGGGTTTAGGGTTTAGGGTTTAAGGGTTTCAGAATTTTGGGGTTCAGGGGTTTAGGGTTTCAGAGCTTTTTGGTGGGGTTTTCGGGTTTCATACTCTTCGGACTTCAGGGGTTGCATGTTTCAGAGTGTTAGGTGTTATTGCGGGTTGAGGGCTTTAGGGCTTTGGCAGGGTTAGAGCTTCGAGGGTTTCAGAGTTTGGTGTTTTCCAGGGTCCGGGTACCTGGACGATAGTTATAGGGTGACCCTGTAGTTGTCACCTTACATGTACCTGCACGCGCGAGCCTTCAATTCAACAAGGGCCAGAGCTGAATTGTCCGAATGCCTAATTTCGCAGTTTAGGTTTTGGGTTAGGGATGAGCGGGATAAACCCTATAAACCCTAAACCCTAAACCCTAAACCCTAAACCCTAAACCCTAAACCCTAAACCCTAAACCCTAAACCCTAAACCCTAAACCCTGAACCCTGAACCCTGAACCCTGAACCCTGAAGCCTGAAGCTTGAAGCCTGAAGCCTGAAGCCTGGACCCTGAACCTAAACCTAAGCCTTCAATGAACCCCTAGTCCCGTTGTCGCAAAGGGAAATTGTGAGAACCCCCAAGCCCTGAACCCTAGAGCCTAGACCCCAGGCGACCTTGTACTAATCCTTACATATAGACCGTTAGAAAGTTTTCTGTGAACCCTAAACCCTAAACCCTAAACCCTAAACCCTAAACCCTAAACCCTAAACCCTAAACCCTAAACCCTAAACCCTTCTACAAGGAAGGGGCATTAAGGGGGGGTTTTGGGGGGTTTTGGGGGGGTTTTGGGGGGGTTTTGGGGGGTTTTGGGGGGTTTTGTTTTTTTGCTGAAGGTTTTGGGGGGTTTGGTGGGGTGGGGGCCCCTGTTCAGGGTCTTGTTTGGTGCCCTGAAAGCCATGCTTTTGTCTGATCTTTTTTTGCACTGTGAAGGCTGAAGGATTATTGCACGAGCGGCTCGTAATGAAACGCGTACAATTTCTATTTATCCTGGCCTTGAGGGTTGAGGGTTTGGGGTTTAGGGTTTAGGGTTTAGGGTTTGATTGTTTGGGGTTTAGGGTTTGGGGTTTAGGGTTTGGGGTTTAGGGTTTGGGGTTTAGGGTTTGGGGTTTAGGGTTTCGTGCCTGGGATTCATTGTTCAGGGCTGAGGGTCTGGGGGTGGGCCCCAGGTTGAACTTCCATGTGGTCAGTTCTCAAAATTATTGTCCCCTCTTGGGTGCTCTCAGTTTTAGAGGGTTTAGGGTTTAGGGTTTAGGGCTTAGGGTTTGGGGTTTGGGGTTTGGGGTTTAGCCTACCCCCCCCCCCCCCCCCAAACCTCCAGGCATTTCTTCAGCTTGGCGCAGTCGGGGGAGTCGGGATCCCACCTTCTTCCTTCGCCAGGGTGAAAAAAAGGTAGGGTTTAGGGTTTAGGGTTTAGGGTTTAGGGTTTAGGGTTTAGGGTTTAGGGTTTAGGCTTTCGGGTTTAGGGTTTAGGGTTTAGGGTTTAGGCTTTTGGGTTTAGGGTTTAGGGTTCAGGGTTCAGGGTTTGGGGGGTTCAGGGTTTAGTGTTTAGGGTTTGGGGGTTTGGGGGTTTGGGGGTTTGGGGGGTTCAGGGTTTACGCAATTTCGGGCTTCAAGGTTTGAAGGTTTTGGTTTTGGTCGAGGGTTTTGGGGTTTTGGGTCGTGGGGATGTTGGGGTTCAGGGTTATCGGGTTTAGGGTTACGGGGTTTTGGGGTCCAGATGTCAGAGAACGAGCTGCAGTGGGTTACATGGGCCCTTAGTCTGGGCCCTTTAAAGGGTACCCCTTCCTATACCCCGTATGTACCCTATACAAATTAAGGGCCTGAACATCAGAGCCCTTTAACGGAGGATAGGGGCCCATGAACCTACCCTTAGAGGGAGCAGAAGAAGCTGGATTATGTGTGCTCGCTCTAGGACTGAGGTCTTTCGCAAGCAGTGCAGGGGCGCGCCCCCGAACATGCCTTCTCTTCCGATTATGCGGTGGCTTGCTTTTGTAGTGGGCTTTTTGGTGGGTGTGTTTTGAGCTCCTTGTATGCAGCTATGGATGAGCGTGCGTACTTTCTCCACCAGACCTGCGACTTATGCAGTCGCTGTTGGCTTCAGGGTTGCCTCACAACAGCCCCAGCCATGCACAGGACATGGCAAGAGCACTTTGTCTGATATTTTGGGGTTTAGGTTGTAGTACTGTTGTAGTAGATTTAGGGTTTTAGGGTTCAGGGTTTAGGGTAGATCGGGTTTACCTACCCAATAGGAGTTTTGGTAGTCGATTGCTGGCCGGAGACCTCCTTGCTTGGAGGTTCAGGGGTACTTAGAACCCCAATGATAGCTGTACTTGTAAGGCTCCCGAAGTCCCCAAAGAAGGTTAGAAGTAGACTTGGGGCGGGGCTCTACCATCATTTGCAGGCCTCTACTCTGACGGCCGCTACTATGACAGAAATGCTCGCCGGTAGCGGGGCTTGTAACAGAGACTGTAACGGAAATGAGCGGAGCTGTAACGGATTTGTCGCGCAGCTGCAACGGAGCCGTATCGGAAGGCTGCAACGGAGCGCTACCGGCTGCAGTGATGCTGTAACGGAAACTGTAACGGAGCCGTAGCAGAAGCAGCAACTTTGTAACGGACCTGTAACGGAACTGTAACGGAGCTGTACAACTGAGCTGTAACGGGAGCTGTAAAGGAGCTGTAACGGAGGTGCAACGGAGCTGTAACGGAGCTGTAACGGACGCTGTAACGGAAGCTGTAGAGGAGCTGTAACGGAGGTGCAATGGAGCTGTAACGGAGCTGTAACGGAAGCTGTAGAGGAGCTGTAACGGAGGTGCAAGGGAGCTGTAACGGAGGTGTATCGGAGCTGTAACGGAGCTGCAGCAGAACTGTAACGGAAGCTGCAACGCTAGTCAGCATCGCAAACCCTTCACCTGCACGGCTTCTGCGCCATATCACAGCAAAACTCCAAACCCCAAACCCCAAACCCTAAACCCTAAATCCCAAACCCCAAACCCCAAACCCCAAGCCCCAAGCCCCAAACCCCAAACCCCAAACCCCAAACCCCGAGCCCTAAACCCTAAACCTTAAACCCTAAACCCCAAGCCACACGTCTTAGGTGGGGGACGAAGCCCTGGTTTCGGCGGGCCGTAAACTGGGCCACTATGGGAGGCCGCGGGCGGCTGAGGGCATTTTGGAGGCTTTCTGGGTTTTAGGGTTTCGTGTTTAGGGTTTTAGGGTTTAGGGTGTAGGGTTTCGGGTTAGGGTTTAGGGTTTTAGGGTTTTAGGTTTAGGGTTTAGGGTTTAGGGTTTAGGGTTTGGGGTTTGGGGTTTGGGGTTTGGGGTTTAGAGTTTTCGGGTTGGGATGTTCCCCCCTATACTAACAGTCCTTAGTTGGGATGATCGTATCCCCTAGTATATTGTTGGGAAGGAACCCAAGTTTGGGGTTTTGTGGGATGCTTCGGGTTGAATGTAGGGCTTTAGGAGGTGTATAGGGCCTGAGGGTTTTAGGGGCTTCCGGTTTTTTTGGGGTTTTTGGGGTTTATAGTGTTTTAGGGGGTTCACAGGTTTTATGGGGCTTTGGGGCTTCAAGGTGTTTTGGGGCTTGTGGGGTTTCCGGGGTTTAGAGGATTTAGGGCTTTAGGGCAGGGTTTGGAGCTTTGGGTTGTTTAGGGTTTAGTTTAGGGCTTCGTGT